ACTGGGTGCTTTTTCATGAGGTTTAGCTGTTGACTCATTGTTACAGGTGGAAAAGAAGAAAACAAGTTTGAGAGAGAGAACACCTGGGGCTGATGATATGTTGTTAGAGACATCACAAGGGAACAATTTCTCTTTGAATTGTCATCTGAGGGCTATTCTGCACTAGTCACGGTTTGTAAGCTTCCATTTACTATTTTTAGAGAAGGATAAAAAAGCTTCTGCAGCAGCCATTGCATTACTGACAGGGTGTGTCACTATTTTTGGAATATTTCCGTGGCACATAGGCAAAGCAGTGCTTTCAGTTTGCATGTAACTGCTTCCAAGCCGCCGAGTCAGCATCCCCACTAAACCCTTGGCCAAAGCTTTCTTTTTGAGTTCTTAGTTTTCATATTTGTAGTGCTTCATTCAAGCTGAATTCCTTTCTTAGCTTTGTATAAGGCAGAAGTGAAGAGGAGGTGGTATGTGGCCTTCATCAGTCAAATAGCTGAAAATGTGTGTGAAAGCCAGCAGTTCCTTGGCATTTCACAGTGCAGGGGCAGCTCCCACTGCCAGAGCTGACTTTGCTTCTTCCCCACTCCAGCCACTGCCCACATTCCCCCGTCCTCCAAAAAGCTACAGTAGAGGGGAAGGGAATGTGCCATCACAAAACCTGCAGTTACCATCCAGGGCAGCCCAGATGGAGCCCAGGCTAGGGTGCAGACCCAGGAATGCTCCCAGGAATAAGGTTAGGCTTAGCCAAAGTTTCCTCTGCACATGGTATTGCTCATCTGGTGTTCCAGTCAATATCACATTAGCTCTTCTCCTCACAAATTGAGCCTGTCATTGTGAGAAGTTGAGAGATATGAATTTGCAGTGCTCATCATTTTTCATGGTGTGGGTCCCGATGTGGTGGTGGGTGCAGGTTGTCTGACTTTTCCCAGGGAAGAGTATTGCATGCAAATACCACTTAATACAACCTAAACTTCAAACCAGAGGAGATGGTGGACTACAAACCCACCCTGGCTTATTGCACCCTGACTTTCCTGAGAACATACTAAGTGTACTTGTACTCTTATGAAGGAAGAGTACAAGTACACTTCTACTTTAGTAGATCTAATAAAATTATATCTCTTTTTAAAATTTATTTATTTTAATAAGCCTCAGGCATGAATGTTTATTGGCTCATCATTAAGTTGAAGACTTAGAGGTGGGAACATCTATATATTGTCTCTTGAGATGCTGCCTTCAGGTGTGTGGGAGTCTGCCACCTTTACATGTAAATGTAAGTATGATACATTCCCTGTGAGGAAACATCTTAGTGTAACAGTGAACGGAAGAGTATATGGGAGCAAGCAACAAAAGCAAATGCATATGACTACAGTACTTTGTGGCTTTTGCAGTGGAAACAATACCACAGAGTTAGCAGTGACTGCAAAGACATAGCCCATTGTCACAGCTGCACTTCACTCCTCCTTAGCCTAAATGAAAGAGCCTTAAGCATCACAGGCCTAACTGAAGACAGGTCCAACACCACCATACTGGGAGACATTTACTTTTCTATTGATGCCCTATTTTTCTACCTGGCTTGCATTTAGCCCAGAAGTATTACTTCCTATGTAACGGGTATGAGAGAGAGTCTCTGCAGCAAGCAGGAGAGCATGAGAGCATAGTTATCTGCAGGCCTGGCAGATCTCACCTCATCCTGCTCAGCTGGGGGTTGGTGTTTGGGCTGTGGCAAGACACAGCTACCAGCAACAGCTCTTGCTATATCCTTGGGGGGCGTTGCCAGTCAATGTGGGGCTGCCTTACTGGTGTTCTCTGCTGTAGCTGTTTTCATGACATGTGTCCCATGCCACACTGTTGAAGGTACAGGCTGGCCTTCAGAGCTCCTCTGTGGCAGTAGCTCAAAGCTGCTGTGCTTCCCAGAGGTACCATCAGATACCCTCTCCTTAATGCCTTACTTGTAGGAAACTGGAGACATCAGTGCAGAAAATTCCAGTGTTTCCTCTCAGTAACATGAAGAAAATCCCTTCCTTCTAAACTGGGTAGCCAAGACTACAACACAACATTGTCTTGCTCGTCAAGAGATGGAGAGTAAAGCTGAAAAGTTATTGTCATTTCTCCATTTCTCATCTGGCAGGAAGGCTGAGGTTAGAGACATGGGTTGCTTTCTCCTTGTCCAGCTGGGTGTGATGGTGTAGGACTTTTCTGATGCTGATTGGGAAAGGGGCCATTTGGTGGAATGGACCATGCACACACCAGGATTTCATGGGGAATCCTTGCTACAGGTGGGTGGTGTGCCCCTTTGCTGGATCAGCTGTGCTTTTGTTACACAAAATCTCTAAGCAAGTTGATTTTGTGCACACACTCCAAGTACTCAAATACAAAGGCTTGGGGTGACATTTGTGGTGAACAGTGGACAGGGGACATCAACTACGGTGTCCTCACCACCTCTCTCAAGGGCCTCTTCACTGTTCACAGCAAACTCATTTTTGAACGCACTTTTTATGTCTTTTAGGAGTGGTGTCTTTTCCTGTCTACATGTTGCTCTAAGAGGAAAAATGGATGCCATGCTTGATGTGCTATATAACTGGTCAGCTGCAGCATAGGGGCTTCCAGTCTGCATCATTTCAGCTGTGCTTTTACAAATGCGTGGGCATCTCTGCATGGCAAGTTTGATTAACTGGAAGTAGTGGCCTTACTAGTACAGGGCATCCTTTGTAAGCCTTGTTCTGCTGCTATCAATCTTTGACTCTCTTTCACCTTTCCACACATACGTGTCTTTCCATTTGTACTTCATTTGTACCAATCCCCATTTCTGCCTGCAGCTCTGCAGCATCCAGTGAGCAGGACGGCACCAAGCAGGCTCGGTGTGTGTATGGAGCAGGATGATAGTCCCTGCCCCTCTGTGTTGGCAATCTGGCAAACAAAGTGCAGAGGTATGCTCGAAGCAGGTGGTGGCTTTGAGGGATTTTGCCTTGAGAAATAACCAAGACAAGGATGAGCAGAGTGTGGGGAGTGGTTTCAGTGTGTCAGGGGCCTCCCCCTCCTCTCTGCTTCATGGACCCAGCAGGAGAAATCGGGGATGCTGCCTTTGCCCAAAGCCTTGTAGGCACTGAGGCTGGGGCTGGAAGCTGATGTGTCCAAGTGTGCAGACCTTGCATGTCCTTGCCAGTGTGGCTGGGGTAAGAGGTCCTCAAAACCCTCTGGGGCTGGCGCTGCTGGCACAGTGTGCCTGGCTGGAGAGATGCCTGGGCACAGTAGCCTCTGCCCTCAGCTCGCTCTTCTCCACAAAGTGAGGTTGGACACAGAAATATTATCTTGCTGCTGCTGCCTCCTCTCTCCTTTTGTGTGTGCCTCTTTTGTGTGTTCTTTGTAAGGAAACAGTAACAGAAGGAAGAAAAGCTAGGTTTTCCTGTGCTGTGCAGAGGACGCAATACTGTGACCACAGCATGTTTCACCTCTGTCGTGGTTTAAACCCAGTCAGGTAATTCGTTTGCTCACTTCCCCCCTTTCTTGCCCTCCCCCTGCTCTCGGAGGGACGGAGAGGAGAATCGAAAAGAATGCAACTCCCACGGGTTGAGATAAGAACAGTTTAGTAACTAAGGTATAACACAAATCACTACTGCTACCACCAATTATAATAATGATAAAGGAAATAACAAGGGAAGAGAATACATCATCTCACCACCAGCCGACCGATAACTCGCCCCCCCAGCCTGACCAAGCTCTGACCGATACCTCCTCCAACCCTGCAGTCTCCCAGCCCTTCCGGCTAACTCCCAGTTACATCCTGGGCATGACGTGCTGTGGTACGGAATACCTCTTTGGTCAGTTTGGGTCAGGTGTCCTGTCTCTGCTTCCTCCTGGCTCCCCTCCTCCCTGGCAGAGTATCAGGCTCACAAAGTCCTTGGCCAAACCAAAACATCATTGTTATCACCTCTGTTCCCGAGCTGAAAGTCAAAACACTGCACTGCACCAGCTACCAAGAAGGGGAAAAATGACTGCTACTGCTGAACCCAGGACAACCTCAGGTAACTTTTCCTCCTTTTATTCCAAAAGGGGTAGTTTTTACCAGCATTAGTACCAGTTAAAAGATGATAAAGCCAGAGAAGGGGAGGTGTCTTACCAGGTCTTCTTATAACTTCAAGGAAGAATAATGACATGAACGAATGAAAACGGTTCATCTAATATTGCACATCTCCGGTGACACAGCTTTTTTTTCTTTTGCTGTTGTCTTTCTTGATCTACATCATCAACAAAATCTTGGAAGATTTCAGTGGCCACTGTAGCAGAGGGATGGTGCTGGGATGATATGATTCCAAATCCTCACCACCGCATCTGTTTGATATTGGAATCAGGAATAAAGATTTTATAAGCTTCTCGTGTGTTTTTAGAGCTAACTCCCATGCCTCCTCCCAGCTTCTTTTATGAACATCTTTCCCACACCAACCAGCTTCAGGGCTGGTTTCTGCCCAGACACAAGGCAGTGTTTTCATCCCCTGATTTCTCAGCTTGCTCAAACTGTGCCTGCAGGGCCCCTTTCTGTGGCACTAGGCAGCCTTTCATAGATCAGACATTGATGTGAAGCTGATACTGATGGTTTCCAAGGGAAGTGTATCTCCTTTCTACGCATTGTCCAACCACCACTGGCTACCTGCTCCCCACTGGGGGTCCTGGGCTTGTTGTCCTCTTGCTGCTGCTGAAGCTGTGGGGGAGCAGAAGAATTCCCTTCACCTTTACCACAAAAATGAATCCATCCCACTAGGATGGATGTAGGTGCTGGAGTTGAACTCTTTGGGTGAACACTGAAGAGGATGAGGGCCTCCAGCTGGGTAGATGGGTTTCAGGGGTGTTCTGCATTTTAGTGGGCATTTTCCTTGTCGCTGCATGTTGTCCGCATCCTGATAGAATGCTGCATTGAGAGGTGCTTCTGCCCGTGGTTTTTGTGCCTGTGCTAGAAATGAGAAGTGGTGGGGTGAGAGCGGGAGGAGGGGAGGAGGGCACGAGGGCTGTGCCGACACGTCCCACCACTGCCTGCTCACAGCAGAAAATCCTTCCACCTTCTAGGAGCTGTCATTAGACAAGGGGACATTGGATTTTTCTGACCTGAAAATGAACTTTAGGAGAATTTTTCTAATCAAGAGCCTGCTGCTTTTGTTTCCGAGTGTAAAATGTGAGTTTTTCTTATCCTTTTTCTGCTCAGGCTAGCATTGTTAAACTTGCATTTTAAACCACTTACAATGGTGGGATGTTAGTGATAAGAAAACAGTTCCACTTTTCCAGTGAGTGAACACCTTTGGGTTATTATTTGATTTAATTTTCAGCTTGGGGAGGGCAGGATCTGAGTTTCCTATTCCAGTTATAATAATAAGCTCTAAGCAGTTTTGTTTTTAAGTTTATGAGTCTTATTTTGACACATGTATAACGAGAAATGTCATCATGTAGTTTTCTCTCTGCCCTTGAGGTAGCTTGTACTACATTAGAGAGCCAGTTCACTGTACATTATCGCATGTAATTTCCTTTTCTTATCAAAGATGAATGAATTTTTTGAAAGTGCAAATTATATTCTTCCATAAATATTAACAGAAAGTGATATATCTCAGTGTCTTCAGTGGAGTTGAAGAAGTCTAAGATGTGAAAACAGAAAGCACATACATACATCTTTTATACTTTGCATATTATTGCTCTCATTTTTAAAAGTATTAATCTAAAAACTCATAGATTAATGTACGAGGGATGGGGACAATACAATCATACACGGATGTTGTTTTTCTCTGTTCATTCCACTACAGATTGCATGTATGGTTGTTTAATGCTCTTTTCCTCCGGAACAGAATTAATAGTTAAATATTTTTGCTTGTTTGGTATGTGATATATGAAATGTCTTCCCCAGCAGAAATCATGATTATTTCCTTGAATGGAAAATTCTTTTCAAAGACTTCTTTAGTTCTCTAAAGTTACTACAGGAGCTTTTCATTTTAACTCTTTCTTGTGACTGCAAGTGAGCTGACAGTTGGGTCTTTCTGCCCCTTGGAGCACATTTCAGTTGGCATTAGCAGAAATGCTGTTACTTTAGCTAAAGGGATTTCTAGTATCATATGTGTGGAATAATCAGCTTTCTATTAGCAAGACTATGGAGATCAGATAAACATGCAGAGATATGTCCAGGTGGTCTATCCATAGAGATGCCATTCTTGAAAGCTTTTTTTCTGTATTTCCAGAAAGAAGAAATGATAGTATCTGTTATTCAAAGAATTCCTATTACTAGGTCTAAGTACCAGCGCATGACTGAGCAGAAAGAAGTACCATAATTCATATATTTGGGTGTAATCTGCAGTGACATCTGTGTAGAGGATAGCTGCTTCCAAGGCTGGTTGATAGCTTTATTTCAGAACCTTTTATTAGATGCTTCAAATATGTTGTAAAAAATGCCATAGTGAAATAACAGCCCTTCCTTAGATGGGGGTCAATTGCTGGAAGCACTTCAGTATTAATGTTCTTGTTGCAGAGGTGCACTGTTTTAGTTCTTTGATTATCTGTAGTATTGTTGATTTCATGAAATGGCAACTGGGTTTTAGTTTCCTCTCTGTGACATAGTTTAGCATTGTCCTAGATACCATGAATGAAGGACTGTAATGAAAATATCCATAACCATAGTTTATCTATGTGGGCAAAAAAGTGCTTAAAATATATAAAATTAGAGCAGAATCAGCTTTATCTGGTGATATGAAGGGAAATCCCCTCATGCAGACTGGCTTTATCCTATAAATTGAAGAGGAATGAACATAAGAAGATGACAAAAGAAATAAGCAGTGGCTCTGAGCGCCTGTTTGGTTGTCAGTGAGTTTATAGGACCTGACACTTGTGAACACTCCTTTACATCCTTCTGCAAAGGAGGCATGGAGACAATTCCTTGAAGTGCCCTCCCAGCAAACTTTGTGCTCCAAAAGAACTGGCTCACTGGAGATGGGCCTTGCAAGGGCTGAGAAGGAGCCTGGAGGGGAGAGGGCAGGCCGCCCCGGCACAGCCCCAAGAGTACATCATCTCCATGGGTAGTAACATGATGTTTGGCAGCCTTGGCTTTCCTGAGTATGCCCTTCAGCAGCCGCATGCCAGGTGCTGCCCAGGTAGCACTTCATCAAAGGACACCTGCAAAGAGAAAAGATTTATTTGGCCTTTACCTCTCTTATAATGTCCCCAGTGCCTGATCAGTTCACAGGATATGGTTAGCTGTCTGTTTCTACATGCCTTACTTGCCACATTGCGATCCTTTACTAGAAAAATCAAGTGGAAATATTCCACTGGAGCAGGGTGTCCATGATAGGTGAGGCGGGGGCACTGCAACCTGGCAGTACTGTGTCTGCCTCTGGTTCTGTGCCTTACACTCACTCACTGCTTGACAAGGGCTCTGATTATTATTATTACCATCACTGTCATTGCTGAACTGATCCTAATGTCCATGGCCACTACTAGTTTGTGTTCTTGCTGTCCACAGTAACGTTTGCAGTGATGGGTGCTCTGAGTACCATCCTGTGCCATATGCAAGCCCAAAATGACCTTATTTTCAGGAAGAGTTAAGGCTGGGGTTAAGTTCATGGGCAGCCATTAATTTTATCATCCAAAATCATGCCAAATAAGTTGGCCAGAGTATAAGGCCAGCTTTTGAAAGCTGGACTCAGCTTCCTTGGCTATCAGTTAAATTGTGCACTGACATATATCTAATGAATGATCAAGAGGTGCTTTAGACCAGGGGAAGAAGACAGCATCAGTAATGCAAAGAGGCTGAGGTAACTCGAGGTGTGTGTGTGGGGGCTGGGTAGCAAATGAAGACGTTTTGGGTCACCGCTGTGTACTAGAGTGAATGCTGCTGGAGTCACATTGGCAGGCTGGTTGTGCTTCCCTTTACAGGCTCTGTCACCAACTGGTTTTATGTGGCAGTGAATGAGTCGGCTCTTCTCAGTGTCACTGCTGTTGGGAGTGTATATGATGCAACATGGATGAAAGACAGAAAAAGGTTGCTTCAGATAAAAGACAGGAAAGTTAAGTACTATGTGAACAAGGAGCAGTGCAGGTGCAAGATATTCCTAAATGGGACTCTGCAGATAGAGCAGGCAGTGAAAGAGGACAGCGGAAATTACACGGTGACTGTTTACGAGCAGGATGGGAAACGGAAGGCAGAAGAACATACAGTGTTCATCGTTCAGGGTGAGTTTTTGCTCTTCCCATACAATTCTTATCATAGCTGAATCAGACTTGGTATTTCCTCTCTATCCTACAGCCTTTCCTGTTCACTGTCACCCTTTCTGCTTTTTTTGTGGGGAGGGAACTTCTGTGAGATGCACCTCCTTCCTTCTGCCACTGACAGCAATCTGGATCTCTTCCTCCTTTCCTTGCTTCTGTTGATGCCCTCTGGTCCCCTGCTTCTTTCTGGCTCCCCTCCTTGTTGGCCACCATGTTTTCACATGTGCCCAAGAAAGCAACCATGAGCACATCAGGGTGAGTGTGGTCAACCCCACTACAGCACCTCAGGCAGTGCCTCGATGGGGCCTGAGCTGGGATATCACCGTGCAGGTGGGGCTGTGCTCCCAGCAGCACCCTGCTTCCAGAAGCCTCCTGTGGGAGCAGAGCAAGCACTTACGGTGTTATTTGATGGGTAGTGAGCTATGACTTTTGGTGTCCAGCCAGTGCTCCAGGTACGTGAGCACCTTGCACTGCATCTGCCAGTTCCTGAGAAGTGCTCAGGAGCTCAGGTGGCACTAAATGCCTGTATTTATGCAATGCAATCCCACTGAATTTTTGCTCTAACATAAAAAATAGCCAGCAATCACTTCCTCTGACAAACAGCACAATAGTTGAATTTCCAGAGACAGAAGACTTCTCTACCCTATCCTTGCATAACATAACACCACAAATATAAAGATTGCTCTGTTTGAAGCACACTTAAACACCTGCCTTGGGATTTCAGCTATGAGGGCTCCAAGCATGAAGACATCCTCCAGTCCTGTGCTGTATCTTGTCTTGAATGATGTCTTGAATGGTAGCAGTCCAAGGCTTTTGGGATGAGTAAGAAAGGTGGGATGGCTATTCTGCTCTCTTATGGATGCTGTCACCTTTCCAGACCTCTGAACTGTGGGGCATCATGTTGTTTTTTTTTTTTTCCAGCAATGGAATGATTTTGCTCTTCCTTCTTCAGCCAGGGTGCAAGCTTCTGCCAACCTCTAGAGTTTGTGGGCACCAGCTGGCACTCTGGAAGTGTTGCCTTGATAAGGCAGCAACGACATCTGGAATAGTTTTAGCAGGGTTTCTGCAGTGTGAAGCTCTGTGGCTAATGAACTGCTGAGCAGCAAGGGTGTCTCACTCCTTTGGGAATTACTATTGCAAATGGCCTGCAGACTCAGGAAGTCATCAGGGCCTCATGATATTTACTCATGCTTTAAGCCACTGAGCTGTCATTGGGGTGTCCTGGGTTCAATTTCAGGTTAAGGTTCCAACCCAGGTATGTGCTGCATCATTTCATCATTTTCATCTGCTGTGCAGCAGAGAGGTTTCCTTACCTCCAACACACAGCTTTAGAAGTAAAGTCCTTTAGTAACTGTTGGGTACTAGAGCCATTTGTCAGTCAGATTATACTTTGATACAAACCTAATAGCCCTTATTGGCTTTAAAATGTTTGATCTCAATAACTTATACTGCCTGTAACTAGAGGTGACCCTGGCATGGATTTGTTTACCTGGTCTAAAGGGTAGAAATTAACTTTTTTCCCAGTTGATATCCCTGCCAGTTTGCTTTTCTGCCTCTTTCAGTGCCACCAGTGATAGAGAATCTGGAACCAAAACGCAGTTAGCTGTTTGTGGGACGTAAAAAGAGACAGAAATCAGTTCTTTCTGTCATAGCCTCATTGAGAGCTAAGAAGTGTCTCTGTTTTGTGTTTTCTATTCTGTTTTGATGGGTTTTCATGTTGTTGCCGTTGTGCTAGTTGGGTGCTGTTGGTAGTACATAACCATCACAAGCAGATTTTAGTCCTGCCTTAGAAGTCTCTTCTGATGGCCACAGACAGATTAGAAGCAACTTCATTAGCATCAAAACATTGGGGTGTTGGAGGGGGCTGTGGCTCTGACTCCCTCCCGTCCATTGTCTCCCCTGAAAACAACTTCCTCCCTTCCTCCCCTGTCTGCCTTGCTGGCTGTGGGCCATGCTCAGCCTGAAAGTAGTCCTGCCGTGGTGGCACAGCTCTGCTTTGCCAGGCTAAAATATGTAGGCTAATATACTGTATTGTCTTTATTATGGCCACGTTACTTCTCTAGTAGAGGTCTAATTTGTTCTATATTCTTCTCTGGTCTCATTAGCTGGTGTTACTTGCTGCTTATTCGGCACTAATACTCTGTTCTGCTTAATAATGGAGGTTTTCAAAAGGAGAACCATCTCAGATGTGCTTGTGCCTTCTCTTCTTTTTCAGGGCCTGTCCCTCAGCCAATCCTCAGTGCTGAATGCATGAACAAAACTGTATTTGTCAAGTGTGAAGTGAAGCAGAAGACTAAAGATGAAACATTTATAATAGAACTGACTCAAGATAAAAGCAAAAAGATACATAAGAATGCAACAAGTTTGGAATTGCACACACGGCATTCTGGGACGTTCAGATGTGTTGTTAAGAACCAAGTCAGCGAAAAAATGGTTGAAAAAGTAGCTAAGTGCTCAGGTAAAAACTCTGGTTTTGCCAGAATCTACTAAAGTAGGCCCATAAAGCATGTCCCAGTTGTGTGTATCTGTAGGACTGGTCCAGGTGTCACAAGCATCAGTGGTTCCAGGTACCCAGTAGTGCAAGTCTAACACTGCTGCAGTTACTGGCAGCTGATGCTGCTGTGGTAGCAGTGATGTGAGTCATGCTTCCTGCTTAGCATTCCCTGGCCCTGTTGCATCTCCACCTTCTCCACCCTGCTGCTGCCAGCCTCACTGCTACCCTTACAGCATCCCTGCTTTAACAGCAGAAAGCCCAAGCTGGGGGCAGTGGGATGTGAGGTGGGCCATGCTCCTTCTCTTCTCCTGTGGCTAGTGGTGTTTTTCCCCATCCTCTGAGAGGCCTAGGGCTCACTGGAAGAGGGATAGAGTTTTTTGTGGAGTCAAGAGCCTTGTGGATGGCAGAGAGGCTCTCAGAGCACACTGCAATGCTGTTTTCCACTGGAAGTGGTCTCCTGGGTAAACTAGCCCAAACATGTTGTCTTAATGAAGAAATGCCGTCTAATGCTGGCCATCCCAGGGCACAAGACAGGCAAGCATGGGCCTGCCTTCATTTCTAGTATAGCCAGACATTAGCCATCAGCTAAATACTTGACTTCACTTCTCACCCTTCAGAAATGCTCTTCCTTCACAGGGTGAGTTGGGAGGAAGAGCTTGTTTTTTCTCACATCATTAACAGAGAAATAAAAGGTTTGCCACACTGATCTTCAAAATGCAAATACAGCATTTCTAAGACACGCACACAAAAAAAAAACCCACAGGAAAATCTGTAGGACTACCCTTCCTACTCAAACAAAACCCCCTCAAACCTTTCTGTGTGGTGGCAGGATTCTGCCAGCTGCATAGTAGATTACAAATCCCTCAGCTTGCAACTAAACCTCTTTCCAACCCTGCTGCCCTTCATGAACTTCTGGTCCTGCATTCGGGGCCTATCACCTTGAATTTTGACCTTTAGCAGGCAAGGCATATTTCAGATGGGCTTCAGCTCAGTTGACTGCATTTAAGCATGAACCATGTGTGAATCTGCCAGGGCTCACCTTAAAGTCAGCTGGGAGAAACAGGCATGGAAATGGCAAAATACACCTCTGTGTAACACTGGCAGCTAAAAAAGTTGAAAACAACCACATTAGTGAGGGTACTTGTCTTTTTTTTTTCCACTGGGGCAGCCCAGGCTGATGGTGGTCTTTATACTGTAGACATAGAATCATAGAATCATAGATTTATGGAATGGTTTGGGTTGGAAAGGACCTTCAAGATCATCCGGTTCCAACCTCCCTGCCATGGGTGGGGATGCCTCACCCTAGATCATGTTGCCCAAGATTCTGTCCAGCCTGGCCTCGAACACTGCCAGGGATGGAGCATTCACAGCTTCCTTGGGCAGCCTGTTCCAGTGTCTGACCACCCTCACAGGAAAGAACTTTTCCTTAAATTGTTTGTGCCATCACTCTCTGCTCTCCATATGCATGCCCAGTGAATGTTAACAGCGATACCAGTGGTGTTGTCCTTTTTGGAACTTTGTCCCCCAAGGAGGATGCACTTCTGCTGGGTTCACTCCACAGCACATGTACTCGAGCATGAACACTAGATGTCAGAAGGACAGCCCAAGCAGGAAATGGTGGAGGAAGGCCAGCATCCAGCAAACCTCACTGGCGAGAATAAGGAACTGTCATATAAATTTTTTCTCACTGGGCAAACTGAACTCTCATTTTGAGATTGGGATACTTGGTTATGTTCTTTTCACTGTTTTTTAAAATTTGCCTACAGCCAAAAATTGAAGAGGAATAGCAAAATACCCTGAAGAGAGCTAGTCTCAGTGTTTCCAGCTCAGTAGGAAGTACTTTGAAAGTCTAGTTTTGTTAGATGCTGTGCACTGCCTGCATGCTCATTGTCCCTAGAAGTATCCGTTGCTAGCAGGAACAGGGCATTTGTGGTAATTTAAATCAAATGAGCAGGCTCACATGAATGGTTTCAATTTTCTGCAGAACTTAGATCCATCAGGGAGCAATCAAAATTTTCCACAATGAGGACCAGCAACTTTATGCTGTCTACAGAGAAAAGGCAAAGGATGGGCTCTCTCACTGGGGCTGCCTTTATGGTTGACAGAAGAAAACAGTAACTCTAGGCAGATGTTGTGCAAGTTATTTCTTTCTCTCTAAAATCCTCTTTCATTCCCTTAACTAGGCCAGCTGGACCTTTATCTCATCTTAAGCATAGCAGGAGGTGCAGTCTTCTTTGTCATCTTCATGATTTTACTTATTTATTGTATCAGGAGGAAGAAAGCAGAAAGGCTGGAAGATGATGGTAAGTGTTTAAGAGGCTTTATGTTGCTAACCAGCTACCTAAAATCTTAGAGCTTCATGCTGACAGTGAGCCCTGTGGGCAGGAGTATGCTCTCTGCTTTGGTATGAGCAACAACAGGGTTTTGGCATATGGTGAATCTCAGCAGATCCGCTGGCATTGCCAGTCTTGTTTTCTGATACACTGCTTTGAACAAAAGACTTCTTGTTGTCAAGCCGTTTTTTTAGTTGTGGTGAAAGAATTGCTCCTCTAAAGCTTGGCTAAGGCCATCAGTCATGAACATCTGTGGGGCTAAAATATACAGTTAGGTATCCCATCAGCAGATTTTTTGACAAATTTATATGGTGCAAAATTAGGATCCTTGAAATCATTAGCCACTTTTGGAAATACTGCAGACAGTGAAAATGGGCAAGAAGAGCTCAGCTTTTCTGTGAATTTCCTCAGGCATCTCACGGAACTTGTTCTCTCTACAGAACAATGTCCTTGGAGGTCTGTCAACACTGGAGGCCCCACCTGGGGCACTTTAAAGAGTTGAGGTTTTCAGGGTGGGCAGGTATTTCAAATGTTGTCCAAAATTCATGGCTCCTTAAGACCATGGGAAATGCTCTGCCAGTGTTCTCTGAGAGTGGGCTCTTGGTCTTATCAGAGAGGTTGCCTTGAATTTACAACTTGGGCATTGCTGCTAGTTTTGGTGGACAGAAGACACTAAGCTGCCACACAAGAAGAGTTGTCTTGCCCACTTCTAGGTTGGGAAGCTAAAGCAGGAGGGAGGTTGCCCTGTCAGGGCTTGTTCAAAGGCTTATTTCCCAGTCCTGCCCCCACACTGTGTATCAGGCTTCCTGCGTGGTCTCAAACAACAGTTACTCTCTGTGTGAGTCAGTTCATGAGTTACAAAATGGGAGTAAAAGCTCCTTTGTACACAACAGGCATCTCTGTCAAGATGCCTGAAAGAAACCTCAGCTGCTGTCTCAAAGGTGCCCATGGCCGGCCTGGCAAGAAGGGTGAGCATGACAAGTCCTGCGGCTGAGGGGAGTGCAACCTCACTACACCTGAGTGTGGGTAACTTGCCATTACCCTCCTGCTTCCCCCAAAGTTATGATGATGAAGAATAGGCAAGAGCTTTCCCCATTCACTGGGAGAGCTCACCACATTGCAACCACAGGATGTCATTTCAGAAGGCTTGCCATAGCTCATGAGTACAATGATGGTGTGAGCCATCTGAGTGTTACTCTGCATTATAGCTGTTCTTATTTGAGTGAGATACGTTACTTCCTCAACTGCACATTAATAGCATGCCCTCAGTTCTTGGGTCTGGATTCAGTAAGAATGAAGAAAAAGAGAAGCCTGGGAAAATGAGAACTAATATAAGAGAGTGACTAGCCTCTTTGAAACAGTTTTGTGTGTTCTTAAGGCCATTTCAGTGTCCCAAGTGACTCAACCCCTAAACTAAGCTGACTGATGTTACAGAAATGATAAGGCAGTGATGAAGAGTCAGCTGGCATGAATTTACTTCTGCACATGGGGAAATCAGTGCTGTCAAAATGGGCCTCTGGCTTCCAGCACTGATACTGGCAGGGCAGAGTGCTTTGATACTGATTGCTTCCTGTGATTGCATCTCACTTTGCTTTCAGTGTCCTGTTTTCAACACAGTTCAGAGCAGCTCAGGCTGGGGCTGTCCACTGGTGACTGGTGGTTCCCCCAGCACAGACAGGGGAGAGCTGCCTCAAATGCCCCCAGGTACCTTGACCTCAGCCAGGCAGCCAAAAAAAGCTTTTGGGTTTGCCTGGGATGTGCAAGCAGAGGTGATTTTGGTTGTTGACTGGAGTAGCAGGAACACCTGAGAGTGACAGCAGTCTTAGGTAAGACCAACATTGGCTTTTTCTTGCTTGGGCCCAGTACTTTCTGCTCTGTCCCACTTCTGCTCAGGCTGTGCCTGACTGCGTGGTGCTCGTGTCGTTGCAGGAGAGGAGCACTTGACTCAGGCGCGCCCCATGGACAGTGAGATGATGGTGAGGGAGCTCCGGCAGCAGCCGTGTAATCCCACCCCGAGGCAGCAGCGTGTGCAGCGGCGGCCGCTGCCGCAACCCCAGGTACAGCAGCGAGCACTGCCTCCACGGCCCCGGCCCCGCACTCAGCCGCGGACTCCAAACCACCCCACAGAGAGACTTTGAACGTCTGCCCCGGGAGGGACAGCGGTCTCTGTGCTCCACGGTGCACTAGGAAAAGAAAGCTTCTAACAGTCAGGAATCCCTTCCTCCCAACCTTGCGTAACGCTCAGCTATGAAATGGCAGCTTTTGTTGCAGAAAATTAGAGAGAACCTCAAATGGAGATGAAGAGACCCAGTGGAGGAGATTCAAGGTGATGGGCATTCATCCCTGTGGCCATTTTTCATCAAAGGTGTCTCTCCATGGTAGGGTACGGAGCACTGAGCCTTGAAATCTTTGTGTTTCTGTGGTTCACTTGTTTTTACCATACCTTGTTGTCTTTGTGCCTCTTGGATGGATTATACCAAGAAGAAGCTAAAGCCCTACTGAGACAATATGGGCCTAAGGATCTTACTGGGTTTTGTCACATATCTTCTGTTTCTCCTGCCACACATTAGGACAGCCCCATGGCTTCAGGATCAAATGCATGACTGCCTGGGTTAAAAAATAATTGTATGTAATTAAATGCTTGTCTGAAGCTGACAGAATTGGTGTCATCAAACACAGAGAAGAAGATACTGAAGGGAGATGTGGGAGCTTTGAAGGACATCCATGTGTAGAAAAATGCAAGTGAGAAAGGAGTAAACTTTTCACGATCTCTACCATGGCTTAAGTTGCAGGGAGGGTTAAGTCAGGTGTGGTTTTTTGTTTGGTTTGGTTTTTTTTTTGTTCCAAATGAAGTACTGAAATAGATTTCTGGGAAAGGATTTCCAGCACTGAGGGTTTCAAACAGCGGATTAAGCATTCTCATCCTGCTGAGGCCCAGGGAACATGCTGCATGGCCTCTTAAAGGAATATTTCAGCTCAGTTTTCTGTGACTCCTTGCTAAAAAATAAAATTAAACTTTATTGTCAGGATAGGTCTGTTTGGCTATCCAAACATTTATTTTGTCATAGAAGAAGTCTGGTAATCATTAGCTTATAACACAAGTGTTACAGACTTCCAAGCAGTCTGATCACTAGTGTTATTGTCTGAATTGTAATGGCTTTCCATTGTAGGGCCTCCTGCTGATGGTGAGGGACCAGGACCCTTTGCTGGTAAGCACCTCATATATAACAAGGTGATGATAGAGAACTGCTGAGAGATCTCCCTCCCAAAGAGAGAAAGAGGTTGGACTGCAATAACTGCACCTGTATCACCCCACATGTGCTGGACAAACACTACTTGCTCTTTTGATCCTTGGAGATGTTCACAACTGTCTCTTTGGGACAGCTAGGGAGACAAGAGAGCAATGTCTAAATGGTTACACTGGCCTATCTGGTGTAAGGGGAAGCACAAGTGGAGAAGGAGGGAGCTGCAAGAGCCACAGAGCACAAGACATCCGCTCAGCATGTTCCATTAGGCAGAACATATAGTACCTCTTTTAGATTTGACTATCTTTTAGATTTGACTATCCTACACATATCAGGGGAGAGAAAACAGCCATCCTTTGTTTCTTCCCAGGAATATGACTATTTTTATCTTCTGGCACAAGGACAGAGAAGTAACTTATCAGGGACAAGGTCTCTACCTCCGCCAGAGCTCGGTCAGTGCTTGAACTCCCATGTCAGACACAGCCCTGGGAGCATCACCTTGGCTTTCTGCAGCTTGTTTTAGGGCTTTTGCTATTGAAAGTTGCATCTGATAAACACTTTATGGTTTATTCTGTAACATACTCTATATCCCTGTAGAGAATTAATAAACATAAGAGTGGGTGGAAAGGATCTCAGTTCACCCCTGTGCTGGTACTTCAGTATCTGGATCTCACTTTGGTATGAAGGAAGCAAAAAAACCATGTTGGTCCCTTAGCCATGGAAACAGGGATGCAGCAGGTTTCACACTGATGCCCAGCTGATGGGCTCAGTCTGGCACAGGTGAGCACAGCTACTGTACACACCTGCCTGCTGTGGCAGCATGCTCTGGCTGTCCTATGTGGCTGGAGCTTTATCACCACCCTCTTCTGAGCAAGCAGATGAGCTGGGAATTCTCTGTGGTTACATGGTTACAGGAGAGCCCGTCCTTCCTGGGAGAGAGAGGAGAGTTACTGGGACCTGAGGAGAAGGATGGGCTCCTCCTGTGATGCCCTGACACTGGTTAGTGTTCTCTGTGTCTCGGGCTTAACAGCTGCAGAAATTCTTTGGAGATGCTTCTTCCCCATGGCTGAGGATTGGTGAGCTTCTGTCAACCCTCTGAGAGACCCTTCTGGGCTTCCGACCAGCCTGGGCTTTGGTGCAGGTCCTTGCAGTGGAGCACCAGCGCCTGCATAAGGTGGTGCCAGGGTGACTCCAGCCCAGCAGAGAAGTGTGCTCACTCTTCTGGCAAGGAACTGCAGCCTGAATCTAAGGATGAGCCCAGGATAGCAACAGGAGGCAAGAAGCTTTCATACTGTTGGTCATAAAGTGGGTCCAAACCTGTGCCCAAGACTGGGCTTGAGACCACCATGTGAACTGGGGAAACCTCTGTTGTCTCAGGTATGTGACGGCTGAACACACCCAAAAGCTGCCCTCAGATCCCTTTCCTGGGGAGCAGGGCTACCAGCAGGCACCCTGACTTCAGGGCAGGGCAGAGGCCACAACAGTGGGCATGAATGAAGTGTGGAGGTACATGTTTTAATACTGCCCTACAACTGGCTGCTGTAACCATGGGCTGAGAGAAACACTCTCAGCCTCAGCCAACTCAGTGAGGTCTCCTCTGAGGTACTAGTCTCTTTTCAGCTAGATGTTTCAGCTAGATGTTTCTCTTTTATGTGCCAAGAGGCTCAAAGCTAAGTAAAGAGAGATTAATTTAGCCCTGTTCTGTGGAATTGCACCAAAACACAGTCCTCCACCAGGCAAACAAGCAAATACTAAGAGCACAGAGTACCCTGCAGAAGGGGAGTCTTATCAGAACAATGCTTATTTTTGATTGACACCTGTTTTTTGATAGTCACCATTATTTTGTCAGTCTCATGTTTGTTCATGATGCACTGCAACGGATGATACTTGTACAGTCCCCAGTTCTACTTGGTGCCTGCTTGAAAAGTCAGCAATTCTTCTGAATGTGTGTCATGGAGCATTCGAATCTCAGGGGTTTATGCTGTAGAGGATGTTTTAGTTCTGAAAAACAAGCTGACAGTGTGACCTAAGAAATAAGAGGAAGCGATGGGCTCTAGTGATATTCATTGCAACCTTTCTTGGTTCTTCTTTCATAGATGCATCTATCAGTGAGTCACACAAAGTGAAGTGTTTTTCCTCATTCTTCTTAAAGGGGATGAGATGGCAGGGCTGACATGCTGAGCCGTGCTCTGTAAGGATGCTGCTTTGTCCTCTCTGACTGAGGAGATGTAGTTGATGTTGCCTGGGTGCTAGCAGGGCTCAGTTTCACTTTGTGATGCTCTGCAGAGCCAGTGCTGAGAGAATGGGAGGAAAGTGCAGTCTAGTGATCCAAGCAGGTCTGTAGTCATGCTGTGGTCCTGCAGCACTCACCAGTTGTGCACCCAAAAGAGCAATGGTTGGTTGTATATGAGTTACAAATCTTCTATCTCACTCTTGATCTGTGTGACATCAGCAGCATTTGCTGCCCAAACATGGCCTTTCTAGTAGAAGAGACCTGCTTGTATGTCAGCCAGATCTTCAGCAGTCCAGGGGAGGCTCTCTCACTCCTGGCACAGGCAGTGCTGGAGCCAGATAGATCATGTAATTTCTAAAATAAAACTCTGAGCCTATAAAAGGACAAGTAGGAAACGTTGCCTAGTTCAAATGTCTTCATTGGGATGCTTGACAGAATGATGCTATGGGGAAAAGACACAGGTTTCATCCTTATTCTGCAAAAAAAAAAAGTCAGGCTCTGATAAGGAAATAAACCCCAGCTGGAACTGTGTTGCCTCCCAGCTCCCTTCTCCATGACAGACCTCAAGTTCTGACAGACCTCAAGACATTAATCACCTCAAGTTTTCCTCCTTGGCAAAGGGAGCTGCTCTCTCCCCAGGAACAGCAGGGACTTGAGCGAATGAGCCTTCCCAAAGCCTGTGGCAGAGCACCATGACATCGCTGCTGCTCCCCTTGACCTTCTGGTGCAGAGAGAAGCAGGTGCATGAGGAGCTACGTCATGTCAGGATCAGCTGGGTACCTGCCAGCTACTGCCCAGGGCTTCCCAGCTGGGGTTTGGGGTAGAGGAGGAGGGCAGGTACTAGCTGAGCTGGCCAGCAGATAGGTCAGGCTCTGTGCATGTAGCACACTGGACAACAGGGCAGCTACAATGGGATGGGAAGGCACAGAAACAGCTGCCTAAGACGAGCTGGACAGCCAAGAATCAGGATTTGAGTTGTGTATTTTATGTTCACAGTCCTGGGATGTGGCTTCTCTTTCTTAGAAAGCATACATCTGAGCTGCAATTTACCCTTTGGGCAGGGGGCATGCATTGGATGCCTTGCTGGGCCTCCTGCTTCCTCCTCTTTTTCAATCCCATGGCCAGTTGCCTTGTCCTCACCTCCTGTGACACTTCCCCAGGCCACACTGCTACAGCATTAACTTCTATTCTAGCTTTCCTTCCTATGAAATGCCCACTCTGGTTGGCTTATTTTTCCTCTGTGAGCACTCGGCACTCCACCTATACACATGTCAACTTCAGGGCAGTATGGCTGCCAAGGTGCTCCTTTGGCTTCAGAGCACAGTTTCTCTTCATCATGCATGCCCTGGGAAGACCTGCTCGAGGTTGCTTTGCTGCTGTCTGCAGTCTGGCATGATCCCTGTCTCAGAAAGGATGGAAGAGGGATACACCTCTTTGCTTGTCTCCTGGCTGATGGTGAGTCCCCTTTCTCCAAGTCTTGCTGGGCATGCATTGAGCCCCATCTGCTCAGAGCCTGTGGTGCCAGCAGGCCCTGCTCTCCCCACCTTGACACGTCATCGCTGCTGTAAAAGTTGCTGGTTCAATTGAAGTAGGGAAGGAGGGAAGGAGAGGGCAAAGACTAGAGCAGAGAAATAATTAAGGTGTTTGGCTCTGCCCACCTGCCTGTCAGCAGCACTGATCTCAACATGGTTCTGATGCCTTGTGTGCCTTTGTTTTGGGTGATATTGTTAGACAGTTTCTGCCTTTGGTGCCTCTGAAATGTAGTTTTTGAGATAACAGGAAGAGATAACCCCACAACAGAGGCGCTGTCTGTGCAGTCATTCTTACTGGTTGCACTTCCCATGCGCTTTCTCTGCCTACATAACAATAGCGGGCAAGCATTTTGAGTTGCTGCCTGGCCTCCCATACAAATACTCGCTTTCATTTTCAACTCTCTTGGGTGGCATGGAGCAGGTGAGTGAGCATGGGGCAAAGGCAGAGGGGTGTGAGTAGAGATATGCATGGCACAGGCACTGCTGGCAGCCAGAGGGAACAGCTCTGAAACAAAACTGTCTGCAGGTATCCCAGAAATGCAGTCCTGTGCTTACAGCTCCCTGGCTGAACAGCAGTGAAATGGGGACAGGCAGTAAGGCTGGTGCATTAGGGCAGCTAAAGCTTGAAGAGACTCATGCCGAAGTGTGATGCCTGCTGGGACAGTCTGGGACTGCTGCTGTTAGCAGCCAGAGTCAGACCAACCCCTCTTCCTGTGATAGTGTCCTGGGTTCAGCAGTAGCAGTCATTTTTCTCCTTCTTAGTAGCTGGTGCAGTGCTGTGGTTTTGACTTTCAGCCTGGGAGCAGAGCTGATAACACCAATGTTTTCAGTTGTTGCTCAGTAATGTTTACTCTGACCAAGGACTTTCTGAGTCTCGTGCTCTGACAGGGAGGAGAGGAAGCTGCGAGAAAACAGAGACAGGACACCTGACCAAAACTAACCAAAGAAGTATTCCATACCACAGCACGTCATGCCCACTATATAAACTGGGGTCAGTTACCCGGAAGGGCTAGTTCATTTC